TGGCGAAAATGTTGATCGCGCCAAAAACCGAAAAAAACAGGCACAGCTAAACATAAAAAGAGATAATTGGCGAAAAACCTGCACGAAGATTATGAACTTTGCGAATTTCGGAAGGAGATGGTGACACGGCAAATAGAAAATTTCTTCGTGTTAAAAAAAGATCATCATTTTATTAATATAAAAATTAAAATATTTACAGAATTATTATAATGAAATATTATAGAGATGATTCTAATCTGATAAATTCATAGTATCATTATCGTCATCATTGTCATTGTTATCAATAACAATAATTTTTGAACCAATTTTTGTCTTTATTGATTCCTTTGTTAATGATGATGATGTTGTTAATTTTATTGTAGTTGCTAATTTTATATCATCATCATCTTTAATAATAGTAGCGTTGTTGTCGTTGTCATGATATGTTATTGATTCTTTTGTAAGATCATTAGAGGATTGGAGAAGTGATAAAGAAGGCGGTGGTGGTGGTAATGATGGAGGCGGAGGAGGCAAAGGGGATTGTGGTAGTGGTGGCGGCGGTGGTAGTTTTAAAGAAAATGTTTGAAGTGATGGGGAAGATGAAGATGCTCCTGGAGGAGGTGGTTCTATTGAATTGTTATTATAATTATTATAATATGCACTGCTACTACTAGCATTACCATTACCGTTACCATAATAGTTATAATTATAATGATTGTAATAATCATAATATTGTAGATAATAATTATCGTAACTATTGTAATTGTAATAATTATAACCATAAGCATAATGGTTGTTATTGTTATTATAATCTTCACCACCACCACCACCACCACTACTAAATTTTCTTTTTCTTGACATCGTTGACGATGATGTTAATTCTAAATTTAAGTCAGGATAGTAGACCAATTGTACTTTTCTTTCTTTTTTCTTTTTATAATCAACATCTAAATTATCATCGTTTGTAACAATAATTTCCTTATCTTTTTCTGTTGTAACGGATGAAGGTGATTCATATATTTCACCAGGTTCTAAATCATAATCATTTGGTGGAGTTTTGCCTTTTATTTCATCATCTTGATTTTTATCATCGTCGTTATTCTTATCATCTTCCTTATCATCATAAATTTTTAATATTTTAGAACTCCAACTTTTCAATTGATCTTTTATTTTTTCTTTTCGTTCTTTTCTTTCTTTTAATGGATCTAAAAAAAAAAATTTATTTTACAATGTTGACATGTTAATAACCCACATGCAAGTATACCACACACATTATTTTATTTTTATTTTTTTCACAAATAAAGTTACCTTCACCAACTTCATATCCGAGGTAACCGGGTGGATAACCATATATTCTCATTCTTTCATAATACGGTGGTTCCATATTTGGAGCCAAAATACCCAAAGCATCTTTTAAAACATCAGATATTATACCAGGTTTAAATATACTGACTAATGATTCTTTTTCTTCTTCGTCAAAATATCTACCATTACCATTATTACCATTACCATTATCATTATTATTAGCACTAGATAAATACAAATGACGATTTGATAATTTTTCTAATTCAAAATTTTCTTTATTTTCTTTTATTTTTTGATTATTTTTTGGTTCAGGGCATTTATTTAAACTGTGGTCTGGCGAATCACAATTAAAGCATTTCCTTACTTCCTTTTGTTTTTGTAATTGTAATTGCAATTGATGATTTTGTTGCTTTTGTAATGATAACAATAATTCGTTTTGATCAAATGTGGTTTTGGTATTTTCTAAACCAAATATATATTCTGTTGCTCTTTTGTAAATAGGATTTGGTGGCGATGGGGACGATGGACCAGCCTTAATATCAAAAGTATATTTTGTTCCTTTATCCGTTGACTTGATTATTATGTCATTATTGTCGTTAATATTTTTAATCGAATCATTATCTTTCACCACCACATTCACTTTATCCACCACGTCCACTTGTTCATTGTTAATGACAACAGTATTATTATAGTTATTTTGTTGTTTTTGTTGTTGTCGTTTTTTGTAGAGAAGTATAGATGAAGTGTAAGGTATAAAACTATTAGTAGTGGTGGTAGCAGTGGTAGTATTTGGTTGTAAATCTTGTAATGCCTTTTCTACAATTGTTTGATGTTTTTTAATATCATTTAAAGTTGACATTTTTTTAAAAAAATAAACATTTTATTTTATGGATTTAAGAAAATTTATTCCAAATTTAGAAATTATTGGTTTATTTATTTATTTATTATGGGTGTATACTGTATTATATATATATATATATATATTATATTATATATTTTATCTTAATTATTAATTATGATTATTTTTATATATAGTAAAATAAATATACATGTAAAAATGTAAAAATGAAAATATTTATATAATATTAATGTTATCATGTATATTTACTGTTTTCTAACATTTTATAATTATGTTTTAATTTCATACGGATGATATATTAGTATCATTTTTTGCTTCATCAGTTTGTTTTTTATCTTTACTATGATCAATATCTTTACATGATATTGCCCCATACTGTTTATAAATAATGATAATAAATAATAATAATAATAATAATAATAGTAAGAATTTATCTTTTAAATTTATAATATACCAAAAAATACATTTATTATTATATTTCACCACTTACGCTTTTATAATCCAATTGCCTTAATGAAAATGTATAAAGAGCGGCTAGCAAACTGCCTGCAATAGTACCAATGTAATAGATCCAATGAGAGTCACCATATTGACCTGTTACAACAGCTGTACCAAAAGTTCTTGCAGGATTTAAACTTGCACCGGTATATGGTCCTATGCAAATGGCAGAGATGAACAAAGATAAACCAATTCCAACTGGAGCGGTGAACTGACCATGCCCTTGAACTGCAAGCATGTAAACGGTCATTGTTAATACTGATGTGGCAATAAGTTCAAGGAAGAAACCTTGTGCAGCTGAAACCCCTGGAGCCTATAAATATATCAATAATAATAATTAATATATTAGCACTTTAATTTTTTTAGGAATATCAAACAACAACACACTCATTCATTATATATGTGGTGTTTTTTAAGTAATTACCAAAAGAGTAGCAGCACCGGCATCTCCAGGTTGGCATGAAGCAACTGCGAAGGAACCTAATGCAGCGCCAGCAAATTGGGCTATGATATATAATATACCACGTACTAATGACATATCTTCAGTGAGAACTAAAGCTATCGTAATTGCTGGGTTTAATACTATATGTAAGGGATAGGAGGGTAAAATATATGAGTTTATGGAAGGATGAAAGAGAATTATTAATGTTAAAAATCATTTAGAATATCAATTTACCTCCTCCGGATACAGATGCCCAGGTCCATACACTCACTAAAAGTGAAAAACCGAAAGCAAATGGAACTCCAATAGCACCTCTATAATATATATAGAGTATTGTATATGTAAATGTTACGTGAATTAGTAGTGTTTTTGGGAAATTCGGGAAAGAAGATAAATTATTACATTAATTTAAAGTATATGTATACTTACATTGGTGATGTTCCAAAACCTGTGGCACCGCCAGAACCTTTAAAAAATCAAAACGAATACGAATGAATAAACAAAGAAATAAAATTTAAAGAAACGCGTAAAAGAAATGATAGTTTACCCATGAATAAAAAGTAAAAGGTTCCCAAGAATTCTGCAGCAGCAGCTAAGAAATCATGTCGATCATATTTGAAATTGAATAAACGACCCAAATAAGCACCAAGTGATTTATTATTATTAATTTCTTCCATAAATAAAATCAATTAAGAATATTTCGTGGAAATTTTTTTTATGTTATTATTAAGAAAAAAAAAATAATTTTTTTTTAATTTGAAAAATAAAAAATTGACAGTCTATTTATAATGTTATTTGTTCTATATATTCACTTCAAAACTTAACAAGTTAATAGTAATATAAAAAGTTAAAATAGGACCTCGCTCGTTCTCGCATATCCACTTGCATATGTTATTTGTTCAACAAACAAAATAATCCTTAAAATATTAATTATATATAATAATAAAAAACACTTAAAATTGGATTTGGAACAATTGAGCTATTTTAACAATAAATAACATTAATAAAAAAAAATTTATTACTAATATTGATGAAAATCGATTTAGTTTGGAAATTTGAATCGATCCTAATTAATTCATGTAATTCGCCACAATCAAAACTAAACGGTGTGTGACAAATCTGTTTTTTTTCTTTTTTTGAAATGAAAATTTTACGCGATGACACGAATCGTTTGATAAAATGGTTATCTAAAACTCTTGATCAATCAAATTAATTAAAAGAACTCGTGCAAATAATTAACATACATAATAAACAATGAAGCAAATAATTGTTTTCGTACAAACCAACAGATTCACGACAAAAATAATTTACAATGCTTGAATATTATTTATTTATTTATTTATTTATTATTATTATTATTATTATTATTATTATTATTATTATTATTATTATTACTGTTACTGTTACTGTTACTGTTTATTTATATATGATATCTGGAACTATTATCTATAGGAGGAGGAGAAGGAAGAAGAAGAAGAAAAAAATGAAGATGAAGAATCGATGGTTTTAATTATTAATAAAATAAATAATAATTTAATTCGTGGAACTCGTATATTATCAGATCAAACCACTAAAATAAAGATGCAAGCGTATGAACACACGTCAATAATACGACATATGTTATGGTAAGGTGAACAATTGCTTATGATTGATGCAATTCTTGGATTGTTTGCGCTCTTAGTTTACGGTCGGCGCTCGCTTCTTTGTATGGTACGATTATTTATGAGACACAAAATAGGAAGTTCTAGCTCTTTGCTATTACTATGCTGTATTTAGTTTAACCCCAAATTTAATTTAATTTTTAATCTTAATTTTCTACCAAAACATTTAGTAGATCTTTTTCATTATGATTTTTTTTTTGGGAATAATATGCAGTATAATGTAGTGTGTATCTATATTTCTTATTCAATGTACGTTTTTAGACAACTTGTTATTTCTAAATTCACTCAATCATTTGATTTATTTTACCAATTCGCTTCGTCGCAGAATTCATTTTGTGTTCATGTGCTCGCTTTTTCAGCATCTATTTTTAAATAATTTACTTCCAAAAGAAATCTTTTTTTTTTATAAATTTAGAAACAAATAAGGAGAGAAAAAAATGATGAATACTAATACGAATGTGAAAAAAAAGAATACAAAAAAAAATCAAAATTTAATAAGTATAAACTGAGTTATTTGATATGGTAAACAATAATCTAAAATGTTTGGATTAATGTAATTGACCAAGCCTAACGTTGTGCAAAGAACTACAAAGAGCAACGGCGGTAAGCATATTAAGACATATTAATGATGAAAAGATAAAAATAAAATAATGGCAATTAATAAATATGTATATTAATTCGCCGAGCGGCGAGGAAAAAAATTTCAAAAAAAATTTCAGAAATACATTATTGCTACAAAGAATCAATTCATTTTTTTCATGTTCATAATAGGAAAAAAACCGGATTGCGCCCTTTTGATAATTAAAGCAATTCTATTAGAAAATACAAATACGGATAAGAGTAGATTGCCTAAATTCCTTTTTTTTTTTTTTTTTTGCATGAAAAATTTTTTTGTTTGTTATTAAAAGCCGTGATAGCCTTCGAAAAGTAACAATTATATACTGTAAATAAGAAAAACAAACAAGTCGAATAATGATTGATATTACAATTATGTACATATTAATACACCCACATATACATATATAACACAGCACATCTTTGTTATCCTCCAAAAAAAGGGCATACAATTAATTTGCGTGCAGCAAAATAATAATAAATCTTCAGAGAATAATAATGATATTGTAGCGAAAGTCTGATTTTGGTAATACTACATAAATTTGCCTTTTCCTTCACTGTCGTGTTCCTTCGTGGAGAGGCATTATCACGACCCGACGACAATCGACACACAAAGTTTTTTTTTTGGCTTTTTTGAAATTATTAATTAATCCTTTTTTTTCTTTCTTTTTTCCTTCCTTTCAAAATATAAATTTAGTATATTATTGGGAAATATGTTTTTTCCATCTTTAGGGATGGTGTGAAATTTACTCCTATTTTTTTTTCGTAATAAAGGCGTGACAAACATAAACTCGCACAAAACCTTGATATTTGTCAATTGATGTCGTGTCTTTCTTCTAAATTTAAAAAAAAAATTTTTTTTTAACTTCTCAGTAAACATCAATGCATACACCATTTTAATAGGTAAACTTTAAAATTTGTCTGTCGTAAAGTAAATATTTGATAATTTGGTAGCTTCCTATTACTTCCTATTACCATTAATATTAATGAATGAAATTTCGTTTTATTGAACCAACTAGTTATTGATTTTTGACTTTTTGATTATTTTTTCTTGTCGTAATGGAAAAACGCTTAATCATTGGGAATGAGAGAGTTACACCTTGCTCAATAATAATTACAAATAGTTTCATCAATAATCAACAAATCATTCGCAAGCTATTGTAGCTTACTTGAATTCAATTTTTTACATGATAATTTTTTTCGTTTGAACTGTTTTTTATACACGCAATTCACGCAACTTACAATATTAATATGTTTAATGATCACATATTGACAAAACTGATTAATTGACTTCATGACACCACCAACATTTTTTCCGTATAATATTCTCCATTCTTGCTTTTATATACTTTAACATATTTTCCTCCCAAAAAAATTTAAACCTGATAATTTAGTAAGGTTGCAAGGAGTCGTGAATGGATGGACAGGATTGGTTTTATCAAACCTGATCGTTCCTGAATTGGTGAATTGCTATTATTATTGTTATTATTAATCTGGTTTTTTTGTTATACCCACAATCAACCCCTGTCGTTTTTAAAGCAATTGGTGGACTTTTGGTACGAAAAAAAAAAAAATTTTTACGCGACTTATTTATATAAATTAATACATTAATATTATTAATATTGTATTAATAATAATAATCATTATTACTATTATGATTATGATATGATTATGATTTTAATTTCTCTCTTGATTTGCAACACTTGTAAATCAATCATTTTACTTTTATTTGTTATAATAATGACAATAATATTCTCTCGATACCTCATCCCTCTCGCTATCAAATATAAATAGTACCAATCGATTTATTGTATGTTTCGTCTTTGGTATCTTTGAAATACGTATGTAACGTATTTCCATATCGTCTTGTTGCTTTTTTAATACATTTGATATTGATGGATCATCTGGAAAAACATGTTCATCGTGATCAGACAATATTAATATAATCCTTCAATGTTATTACAATCGTAATTGATGTGAAATTTTCCTACCATTAATTACTATTACAATTATAAACTTTAATTGATTTATTTAATATATTTTATTAATTTGCAAAATAAAAAATTTAAATCTTATTTAAATAGTCTAATGTTTATCTTTTAGATTTTTCTTGATAAACTTCATGAAGATAAGGAATACTATCCATTGCTCCTAATTTTCTAACACTTAAACTAGCAGCTATCATTCCCTCCATTATTCCTTCGACTATTTGTTCAATTGATAAGTAATCCAATGACGTTTTAGGTGGCGTCCTAGGCTCTTCAAAATTTCTAGCCGCCCACAAGTTTCTTGAAAGACTAGCAACAAAAAATCCGATAAACGTGTCACCAGCACCAGTTGTGTCCAATACAGGTGTAGTAAGTTCATAATTTGTAAATGTCATGAGGTTATCATCATTGATTTGTTTAAACCATGCTAACAGGCCTTTATCACCCAATGTAACTATTAATATTTTTAATTGTGGAAATTTGTTTTTTATAGTAAATAACAAATCTTTTTCTTCGTTCCTATTTTTCAATGAAATTGAATCTTTGCTTTTGCGTATTTTTGAGTAGAGTTCACATGATTCAATCTTATTTAATATTAAACAGTCAATGTTATCGAATGGAAATACATCCATAATATTTGTTGAAAATGGTGCTGGATTAAAAACAGTAATCAATTCTAAAAATAAAGCAAGTATCTTTATTTATTTATTCATTTAGGTAAAAATACACAAACACACACAAACACACATATTTACCGACATACCTTTCTGTTTACAAACCCTCAAAATTTCACCACCAACAGGGCCAATTTCATTTTGCATCACCACAATATCAGATTTTTTAAAGTTCCCCAATTTTAAAATATCTTCAATTTCTTTTAACGTGATCATATGGTTTGTTCCAGGAAGAAGAATAATAGCATTATCATGCGTTGTTTCTGATAATTGAATAATCGCTCTTCCTGTTGGCTTTGAATAATGATATTATTTATTAGTGAACGATAAATTGTGTAAAGTAAGTAGCTAAATAATATGATGTACCTGGTCCTCAGTAACAATTATATGTTCAACATTAACACCTTGTTTACTCATATAATCCCTAATTACTAATCCATCCTTTCCTATTTTACCTAAATGCCATACAATAGCTCCTGCCTGTTTGATTAGTTGATATTATTATTTATTTATTTACATGACCACAACTACATAGAGCATTAATGAATCAATATTGTAAATATTTAATAAATACTTTTGCCAATGCAACAGCTTGATTTGCTCCTTTTCCTCCTGCTTTTTGATCATATTTGCTACTTGTTAATGTTTCTCCGCTTTGAATTATATGAGGAACTTGGAAATAATCATCCTATATATGGATTTATAGATTGCTTTAAATGATGTTTTTTTTTTGATTCAATTTGTGGATAAAGTCACTACTTACTATGTTAATAGATCCAATCACCAATACTTTAATCATTCCTAGATAGATGTTTTAAAATGTTAAATGGTTTCACAAAATTTTGTTGATCATCATACAAGTCGATCTTAATTCAAATATATAACAAAGAATTTCCCCTATAACTTAAACCACACACATTCTATAATAAACCAACAGAATGCTTGAATCTGATTTAATCTGTTGTATCCTTTTAGAGCAGTAGTAATCGCATCGTGGAATAATTATTTAGGCAATCTATTAAACAATCGAATTCTAATCCCAACCATTTTGAACGTTTTTTACTAATCCGATTGTGAATAGAATTGATGACTTTTTTTTTTGTTGCACGTTCGTGAACAAAAAAAACAGTCTGAAAAAACCAAGATGCAACGGGTGTTTTTATTGAAGGTGGTGGTGGCAGTAGTGGTGTCAATTAGTGTGTAAAATCGCCGGCAAAACATAATTTATAGATAGTAAATAATTTTGTGTTCTACTATATGTTAACGTTAAACCTCAACCATTAACTCTAAATAACCAGGGGCTGATTTTTTCACCAGTTATAATTCTTACGATATAAATATATATTATGCAAAAAACTAAGAGGGCACTAAAGGTACCTTTTGGCAGAGAACCCCCCGTATACATCATCACCTAATCTGGTTGTGGTTATACCACTTAAAGTTCTAGAGCCACTGACGGACTTAACAAACGCGATTGTGGTAAATACACCAGAAACTAATGGTGGGAACAGGGAAATAAAACTTTGAACACGGATCAACGAATTATTTATTATTATGTAATCAAAAAAATTGTATTTATCTATCACGCATCGTCCTATATATAATTAAAAGAGCTCAATTAATAATCAGCTAAATAACAAAAAAACCTCTCATAGATCATCATATGATTATATTAATATAAATAGGTTGTCTTTCTCCTTCTTTCTTTCTCATAAAAAAGAATTAAACAAAAATCTGCAGAAAAATTATTTTAGAAATTTTTCGGTTTTTTAATAAAAATATCCCTAGAATTTTTTTTTGTTTTTGAACTCTTTCTCACATGAAGTACTCACGGTGTCATTTTGCTTTTTTAAACCTTAAATGGTCTCGATTTAATAATCAACAATCAGGGTAATAAATGTAATCCTTTTTTTAGAAATTGATCTGTAAATGTCCCATGACATTACTATTAGCATTACTATTAACATTACTATTACTACTAGTACTATTAATATTACCATTACCATTACTACTATTAACATTACTATATATTAATATTACTATTACAATTAATATTACCATATTACTATTACTATTACCATATTACTATTACTATTACTATTACTATTACTATTACTGGAAATTACTTATTTTAATATGACCCTTCGATCCGTTGAGAGGTTTTTTCCGTCCGTCAATAATAATAGTAATAGTAATAATAACAGTAATAGTAGTGGCGGATTTTTGACTGGTCCCGTGATAAGGTTATTAATATTTGTAAGAAAACCACGAATCTGTACAAATCTGTACATAAACACATACTATTATAATATCAAACGGATAACAGATTATCCGGATAATCAACGGATACAACCACTATTACTATGCCCGTAAAACAAATTCTCTGCATTAGGTTGATTTAATCGAGTTTTTGGTTTTTAGTCAAACAGATGTTGCTATATTACATATAATAAATAAAGTACTATATATTAGAATATAAAATATATTTGCCAGATGTCATGTGGATTGTATAATTATGGATGATGATGATGATATGTTAAAATCGATTAATAATAATGCTATTTTTGATATTTTAGACAAATCTTGATAATTATCACTTGGCTTAATACATCTTCAAAAATTCAATTTAAAACATTCTCCAATACATGACTATTTAATTAGATTTTTGTCGATATTGTTTCAACTGATATTGTACATATCTTCTAAATAATTGGATGATAAAATATTTTTGATTTTAATATTTCACTTCTTTTATTTCATTTGTTATTAGATAAAGAAAAAATTAATAATAATAGCAGTGGTATTTATGCATAATATTGTAAAGAAGTTTTCTTTTTAGCCATAACCTCTAGAATACCTATATAGGAAAAATATAAAAGAATATAACAAAGATCAATTATACACATGTACATAAAAAATAATTAAAAAAAGTCATTATGTAAAAATAATTAATTACCATCCATGAAATCTTCGTGGCTCAATTCTGTAGCACCTCTTCTTAAAGCCAACATACCAGCTTCGACGCTCAGAGCTTTACACTGAGCACCATTAAATTCATCACAACAACGTGCCAATTCATCAAAATTTACATCATTACTAACATTCATTTTACGTGAATGAATTTGAATAATTCGAGCACGAGCTTCTTCATTTGGTAAGGGGAATTCTATTTTACGATCAAGACGACCTGAACGTAAAAGAGCTGGATCCAGAATATCAACACGATTCGTAGCAGCAATAACCTAATAATAAATAGATTTAATGCATATGTGTACTTATTTTTTCCTTAAAAAAAAAATTTTTAATAATATATATAATAACACACAACCTTAATTCTTTCATCACTGCTAAAACCATCCAGTTGATTTAAAAACTCTAACATGGTTCTTTGTACTTCACGATCACCACTTTTCTCACTATCAAATCTCTTTGTTCCAATAGCATCCAATTCATCAACAAAAATTATGGCAGGTGCCTTTTCTTTAGCCAAATTAAATGCATCACGTACAAGTTTAGCCCCATCACCGATAAACATCTAACAACAACAATAATAGTATTAACAATAATATCATTCTTGATAACAGTAATAAAATATGCAAATTAAAATTATTGATTAATTATTTTGAAAAAGATTTATAATTTTTTACCTGTACTAGTTGTGGACCAGCTAATTTTAAATATGTAGAATTAGTTTGTGCAGCACAGGCTCTTGCCAGCAATGTTTTACCGGTACCAGGAGGACCATACAAAAGAACACCTGGTCGAAGGATTAATTCATTGAACTAATAGCCTATTGAATTAATTTTATTAAAATTACATTTCTCCAACAAAGATTACCTTTTGGTGGTTTTATGCCCAAATTTTTAAATCTTTCTGCATGTGTCATTGGTAACACTACAGCTTCCACCAATTCTTCAATTTGTTTATCAAGTCCACCAACATCATTATAATCTTCAGTTGGTTTCTCATCAACTTCCATAGTTTTAACACGAGGATCATATCTATAAACAAAATAATGATTTATTAAAATTTATTTATTTTTTTAAATGAATAAATAAATAAACTATCCAAATAAATAAATTTACTCTGCTGGCAATTTATCAAATATTAAATAACTATCTTTATTTACACCAATCAAATCACTTGGTTTTAGAGTGGCAGGATCAACAAGACCAATTAAAGGCAAGAAAATAGTCTATAATAATGATGATAATTTAATATCTTAAGATAGTAGCAACATATCATTGTAATAATAAAAACAATGAATTTTACTTGACGCGTAGATGTTTTGATTACAGCACATTTTCCTTTACGATGTGCATCAAGATCGATATTTGCACCATCTTCTTCTGGTTCATCACTTGGATCCATATCAAGCAACTAATAATTAATTATAACCATAATTCATTAATATCTTGGGTTAATATATATATATATATTAATATACATTATAAATTAATTAGAATAATTACAATCGATCTAAAGTAATCAAATCAATATAAAACTAACCTCAACAACATTACTAACAAGCCATGGTAATTGTATATTAACTTTTACTTTTTTTTCATTATCCTTTATTTTTTCTTTCATGCTATTTTGTTCGTGTGTTAAACGGGCATGTTCGGATTTTAAGATCTGGTTAATTAAATAGTGATGTCAATGATCACGAATTTGTGCAAGTTGAGCATTCAAAGAAGAAAAGTATCAAATCAACCAATCAATTAATATAATGATGATAACAATAATAACCTTGATTTCGTTGTCAAGCAAACGTGTACGATTATTTATATCCTCAGTACTAGATCTTAAAATTTCTTGACCAAGTTCTTCCAAACCTTCTTCGTTAGCTTTTTCCCAAAGTTGTTTATCTTCAAGCGTAACCATTTTATTTTTATTTGCTTTATTTATTTACTAAATATATGTTTTATTTACTTTTCCTTTTTTTTTGTCCGAAAGTAAATTGTTCATAAGTAATAGTTGTAAAATTAAAAAAATCAAGAATATTTATTAATTTCGAAATTATTATATATTGCTGTTACGTAACTTCCTTCCTGGTCTGGAGGGAGATAAAGCATTTTATTGGTTACGCGTGACACTAATATGAATCAAGTTAACTAGTTTATATGTTCAATAGGGATTTCAAAATCCAAAACTTCACTAGCATTTATTAATACTTGTTAATCTTCTTCAAAATCGTCCTGTTTGTTGCTAATCTTATTAACTGTCTAAGAATGACATCAATTCTTTTAGAATAATTTTAGTGTGTTGCCCAGCCAGCGAACTCGTTAAACCGAAGTGAATGAATTCATATAGATAAATTTAATAGGTGGATAGGTAATAAAAAAATCGGTTTATCGTGTATATTCGTTTTATCAAAGCATCGTCTTAATGAGTTCTGACTGTAACATTTTTTTTTGAAAAATAACAAAAAAAAACTTTTTTGTAATATCTTTCTTTAGAAGACATCTTTTTTTATTAACAATAATACTATTGTTTGCTTTCATGAGTTAATATTTTTTATGTTTTTTTCAAAAGTCTTTACTATTGCATGTTCAACCACCATCACTTTAAGTAGATTGTTTTTATATAAAGGATTAATAATGTAAGTCAGGTTTTATCGATATTCTTCCTAATTTAGCTGCTATGCCTGAACTATTGCCACTTATATACAATGTGTTGCATAGATTAAGGGCAGAACTTTTATTGAATATATTTTAATACGTACGAAATGCTTTCACTATTGATTTTAATTAAAGGCTGACATCTTGATTTTTTTATCAAAGTAAATTAATTAGGAATGAATCAGGAGTTTTCTAAGATGGATCGTCTACATCTTTAAATTTTAACTTCTATCACATTATTTATAATTGATTACCAAAATTTTTAAAGAAATCTAGTACATAAATTGTGACATGTCACGTGATTCTAAAGGTGATTCCGTTTCTTCGAACGATTAACTCTCCTATAAGTCACACCGCCCGTTTCATACAACTTATTAATATTGAAATAGTTATTTGAGAATGGAGAGTTAGCAATCTGGTATATTTATTGGGTAAATGTATCTCATTTATTCTAATAACATAATTGCAAAAAAGCAAGTAAAATTCAACCATATTGTGAATTTTAAAAGCAAATTACTCAACAGCTAATTGCCAGATTCAGTTAGAAAATGATTTAAAATGATTTAAAAAAACAAAACTTTGTTTGAAAATTTATTTGAGTCAAGTTGATGAATTTTTAGTAATATTATAAAAAGTTTTTTGACAACAGTAATTTTCCGTTTTTTTTTTTTTTGCAACATACTGTATATATATCGTTAAGAAAATATTATTATTATTTATCTTTTGTTATAAAGTAAAGTATCTATCTATCATCTCAATTTTGTGCGATTAAATTAATTAATAAATATCCCTAATATCTTATAATTCATCTTTATTGAATCAAAGTTGTTTCTTGATTAATTAATACCTGCTGAAGAGGCAACGCATTGTAAAATATTTCGTATTTGTCGGTGATTAATCATTTGACCAACTTTTAACCACTATAGTTGGCTCAATTTTGAATTTCGATTTCTATTTTAGATTTTCGATTTTAATATTAATTTCGCCAAGGGTGTTTCGATTTCGAAAACTTGTGATTTTTTCGAAAATTTCAAATTTTATTAAGTGACTTTCGCCATTATGTACCATGTACAAAAATCTCTAATTGTTACACGATATATCACTTATGGCTCATTTTGTTAGTAAGTATTAGAAGAATATTAAATCAATGATTTGTTTTTTTTTTGCAAACAATCATGTAACAAATGAATAAAATAAATAAATGAATAAATGAATAAATGAATAAATGAATAAATGAATAAATAAATAAATAAATAAATAAATATATAAATCAATAATCATTGAAATTATTTAAAATCAGGAGCATTATCAGAGATTATGTAAACTCTATCATCATCTCTAAGGATTGTAGCAGCTTTAGGATTGACATAAATGTATCTTAGATGACCACCTTTATGTTGAGTAAGCCTGTAAAGTCCTAATGGCACAGCTTTATGTTCTTGAATCAAGAAATCATAAAATAAATGATATTCCTTGCCTATATAATGTTGAGAGAGAAAAAATATAATTAAATTAATTTAATTATGAATAATAATAATATTATTAAAATACATTGTTTTTACCAAAAAATGAAGAAGGGACATCAATTTGAAACATTTGACCAGATCCAATTTTTAAACTTTGCCATTCATTATCTTGAACATTAGTAACTTTTGGAGTTAACTTTTTATTACCAGGATCATGACTGAATATAAGACGCTTTACAATAACTGGAATGTGTTTATTATAAAAACTATTTGTATAATTGTAATTATATAAATCTTTTAGTTAATTGGTTTTTTTTGAATATTTGTGATAACTTATTCTTACTTACCATTGACAAAGTAAAGTATCTAAATTACTAGGTGTAAATACATTTCCACTCATAAAGGATGGTCGTAAAAGTGCTTGTACTGTAATAATAATAATAATGATTATTGAGACGTTATTATTAATTAAAAAAAGAAATATTTAATACTACCATTATCATCTTGTTTATTTTTTACAGAATCACTTTCACCAATCATCTTAAATGTTTCACGATAAATACACTCTACAATCACGAAACATTCTTCGTGTGCTGCCATGGATTCAATATTCAAAGCAATCATTATCGAGGCAGCATCTGCAGTTCCGTTAGAAGATCTTATATGTGTGTGTATATATATATTTAATTATATATATCATTTAACTTTTTCTAAAGTTCATATTTTTAAAGTTTGACTTACTCTTCATATCTAAGGGAATCACTTAATATAACGCATTTTTTTGCATAATGAACTCTTGCTTTATACAAATCTTTTCTTTTTAAAGGAGATCCGTTAATAAAATAGACAGGACTAAATTTTGACAAAGACCTTTTTTGATAATCGTCAGGTTCATTAGGAGATAAGATAACTATTGGTGCGTCTTTGATGGTAGAATTTTTTCCACGAAGAACCATCATAAAGATGTCAAGGTTAACAGGAAAATCTTCGCTGTGATTACAAATTAAAACATGATCCGTAACATGTGGAATTTCTGATTTTTCATTAAAACAATAAGCTGCTGCATTATTTATATTATTTCTTACTATTTCTGAATCAATTACATTTGAAGCTGGGATATTTGATGATTCTCCATCATCATCATCATCATCATCATCATCATCATCATCATCATCATAATAATCATAATCATCATCTTCTAATATATAACTAGCAGCCGGAATTTGTAATTTTGTGTGTTCCAAATTATTTTCAGTTGGTGTATCATTATTGATGTTACTACTTTTACCGTTTTTCTTTGTAAATAAATCACGTGCAGACTGAGTTATATAAGACAAGCCTCTGTGATAGTAGGGGATTTGAACATGTTCAACAAATTGAGCCATTTTAACAGTTATCTCAGCATTACCACAAACTACAAAACCAATTTCATTTCCGTCTATAACATAATCTTGCGGATTTAAAAATATTTGAAATGGTGAGGCACTTGGTGGTAATTGTTTAAATGATTCCTTGGAACTTTGTGCTATTCTATAAATTCCAATTGAAAATAAAACTGCCCCTAGTCGATTATAAACTAGTTTTGAACATTCTAGAAAAGTTTTACCAATAAAATCCTTTGAAAATGTCACAGCATAAATTTCTTGATTAATCCCAGAAATATATTCAACTGCCCAATGCAATTCTATTAATCAATCAATCAATCAAATATATGAGAATTATAAATGTATATTTATATTGTTATTGTTACTATCATTATTATTTATTTATTTTACCTTGTTTCTTTTTTGCACTACGAGTTAATTTATTTGCTATTTTTTTAGTGATAGAAGTTGTCAACAATACAACGAGTGAAGAGAAACCGGGAATTATTAAACTTTGAGCCATTAATCCCATGGCTATTTCATCTATGCAAATTATATCTTTGGCTAGTATATTTTTGGAGAAAGAGTTAGTATTAATTAATAATCATTTAAATAATTTTTGCGAAAAGACTTGCAAATAGAATATTTAATTACCCAAGAAATCAAAATGTGGTACATTTACAGGTGAATGGATTTGAGCATATAATGGTATTTTATTATTGTATTTTTTAATAGCCTTTTTAGTTTGAATTGAATATTAAAAAATAAGTCAAAAAAAAAAAATCAATAAAATTTTCCTTTTTAAAATAAATAACCCATTAAAATTAATTACCAATGCTCTTAAGATTTGTGCTGCATCGTCTTCATCATCATTTTTAGAAAATTTTTTAGATAATAGGAATACTGCACTGGCAATATCAATCCTAACTTTTTCAAGACTTCGACGTAAAGTTGCTGACCTGTGAAATATATAGGTATTTTATTTAATTAAATAATTCTAAAAATTATTACTTTATTTTCTTCATAAAATCTACCCTTTAACATATTGTACTCTGGTTGTAAATGCAGGATCTTCTAGCAATAATGCAATATTCTCTTCTGGCTGTTATTACAATATAAAATAAAAATAAATGATAAATAAAATTAAGTGATTTGATTTTCTTCTAATATAATCCATCCTTCCATTTTAATCTTCTTCCGTTAATTCTTTTCCGTATAATTTTCTCATTATATTCCTCCTATACTTTCAATCTTTCAATCAATTACCTCTTCAGGATTTAACACAACAACGTCAGTACTCATTGTGGCCAAACCATGATCTTGACAAAAAAATTCACGTAGAAATTCATACAAGCTGGTTTCATCAAAACTTCCAGTGACAACAATGTGTTTTATATTAGATTCAGGTTTATATGAATGAGAATATTTGGATTTTTGCCTAATAAGGTCAAGAAGTTCTGATAGATTCGAGGGAAGGAATATAGCACCTGCTACCATAACATACAATATCACAATTCGAGTAAAGGCATTTTCTGGTACTAAATCTGTTGACATTCCATTTGTACTATATACATTATAAATAAATATATATAGTTATTGACAAAAGAAAAGTGTGTATCCGAGAGATATTAATTTAATAATTATTTACTTACCAGCTCACTAATATGAAAAATATTAATTGATTAATTGTTAATTAATAATAGATAAATAAATAAACAACTATTTATTTATTTATTTATTTATTTGCACAATTTATTTACCTACTGTAAAAAAAAAAGTATCCATAAAACTCAAATGTTCAACATTGTCGTGATGTCCATATTGTTTATAAGTTACAATATGAATGAATGCAGTTATCGCAAGGAAAGTAAATAAAATAGTAGCAACTGGATGTTATTTGGTGAAAAAAATTTTTTTGAATATTATTTTGTGAGGATTTTTTAAATGTGAGAAAGAGGAATAAGAGGAACAACTTACTTAATTGTGCAGCTTTCCTTGTAATTTTATTTAGGTTTAATAACGAACTTTTAACGGGAATAAAAATTATTGATACAGACCAATGAAGTCTAATGAATCTTACTGGATAAATATAAACCTAATAATAATAATAAATAATAATAATTATCATCTAAAAAAGTAAAATTCCTTTTTCCCAAATAAATTATCTACCAAAATTCCAGCTCCCATATAAGTATTATCAATGTCATCATCAAATATTGTTAGAATAGAGGCTGCAATCACCGGGAACACTGATAGCCAAGTAAGTATTGAAAAAACTTTGAAAAAACTTTGTAAAGGTTCGTCTGAAAGCCATATATGAGGAAGATATTGAACCAAAATAATACAAGCAATAATGCAATCTGCATTTTGATAAATTCGAGGATATGGTATTGGATGTTGATCGATTTTTACATATTGAGTGTTCTTTGCGTGAAGGAATTAGTTGGAAATTAATTTCGTAAATTCGTAAAGTAAAAATAAATAAAGTGCAAAATTTACCCAAATATATAAAAGAGTAATTAATTTCGTGAATTCGTAAAGTAAAAATCAAAATTTACCCAAATATATAAAAGAATAAATATTGTTGTCATGATAGCATCAAATAATTCCCAATATCTTCCTTTTTTTGAAGTATCCATTTCAAACTTTATTCTTTTTTTCAAGCTTGGTTTTATTCCAGCTTGTTCGATGAATTCTTTCTGCTTTTGCACCCAAGCTTCATCATATTCATTATTATCACCACCACCTGTACCCACATGAACTGGTGGTATTAAATTTGGCATTTTACTTATACTATTGGTTTTCTTTTTTTTATTCCTTTTAGGTGTATTTGTAAACGATAAACTTTTTGGTTTCATAAATACACCTCTTTTATGTCTATCTTGTTGCAATTGTTGTAGTTGCTCCGAGTCAGTATTGTAATTGTTGGCATTGGAGGAACTATTGCTACTACTATTATTATTTAATAATGGAGTATTTTCGTTCATTTTTTAAAGAAAATAATTGATAAAATTGGGAACAAATTTATTTGATTATCTATATCTATTTATTATACAACCCATTGTTCAGCCAATCTCCTAAATTGCAATTATTTTTGAAAGATTAAATTTTATCACAAATTCTTATTGTAAAATACTAAATATAGACAATGAATGTATCTTCAAATGGAATTTTTGTCAACAAGTAATTTTTTTTCGAAAGAAGTATATAGACATGTGAACATTGTGTGGTGTTGTATTGGTCCAGACTTTATTTACCTAATATTTCCTTTTTCAAAAAATTATGAAATTATTATCCTGTCTGACACCTTGCTAATTGCTAATTGAATAGTTAAAAAACCCATTAAAAGAGTTAATATTGATTTATACTATATGAATTTAAGGTTTTTTGCGCTTGTGCCGTGGTTGAATTGACTACACCCCTTGATAAATCATAATAATTGTGGACAAAGCTTGATATATCCAAAATGTCATTGAACTGACTTTTTAACCGGTTATTTTAACTGATTTTATTAATCAGACTTTGGTCCAATCTTTTGAACAGTTTAGGGTCCACATTTAAAGATCCTCTAGCGAACATTTTTGTTGTACAACGTTTGAACCCTACTAAGCATGTTAACAAATTTTTATATCATTTTCGCCGACCGCATTCCATAAATGCAGTACCAATATATATGATGTAGCTACACGTTGGAATAATGCTTAGCGTTCATGGGTAATGCTATTTGATCTTGAGAAAGCTATTATTATAAGAAATTGTTAGATGGTAGTGAATAGCATTTAATAAAACAACTTGTTGAAACATTGGAACAGTTTGATGCAATAACATCAACACTAAGCAGTAGGTGTTTCGTTACATTATCTTTAGTTACTTTGCTAATTTTTTTTAAAAAAAATGTTTTGGAAACGTTAATTACAATGAGAAATCAAGATGATCCACCATTATTGTTAGAAGAGAGTAATAAAGGTGAAGTGGAATTATATGAAGAAAGTAATGGTGAAAGAAGGAACATGAACCGCCACTATTGATTGGTCCACTCCTTCATATTTAATGAAATTCACGAGTTTGATTATTGATTTATTCTTCCTCTTCTTGTTGTTATATTGATTTTTTAACAGAAGTCAGAATTTACCATTTAGAATAGATAAAAACATTTATGATTTGCAACAATTTGAACAGGAACAAGAAAATATTTTAATTTACCAAGAGCATCAAGGAACTGTGAAATCAACAAAAAAATGAATTATCGTGTCAAAAAGTACAAGCACGGTTATTTTCTGATGTTGGTAATCATATACGTCAACAGAAACAGATTGTCACCTGATATTGTTTCTTTATACATTTAATAATTCTAATCTTTTTAATGTGTTTTTTATTTTTTAATATTAACGATATTAAACGATATATACTGTATATTAAATAATAATATTTTTTTTTACGAGTATATGGATATCCAGTATTGGTATTATATAAGTGTTAATACCAATGCTTAAAACCATTCACACCCCAAAAAAGGATTTAGTATATGGGACATACATACTAATACCATTTGCAAGAGTTATATTTTTGGGGTTCTATATTTGATAATTCGGATATGATTATGAATTTGGATTTTTTTTCACTAAATAAAATTAATCACTTATTAAACATGAATTTCAGCATAAGGTTCAGTGTCAGTATTGATAATAAGAAAGTATCTTGTTAATATGAGAAATCCAACATCTTGTCCTTCAAATAAAACTTGTAAACAAGTTGAAGATGCAATGTGAGCCTTTCTATAAACAACACAAAAGTGTCAATTGTACAGTATATCTTCAGCAGATTTTCTTCATCTACATTAAAAATCCTGTATTGGAAACTTGCATCTTCTCCATCGTCTAATCTTGTTGTGGACACCCTACTTAAAGCATCAGTGTCACATATAAAATTCGTTGAAACACGTTTAGTAATTTTAGATGCAATTGTTTATGCGTCCTTGAAACAAGGTTTGACCATGATGATAGCCTTTACTGTCCTCTTTCTTCTCCCTTTAATTAACAATTTTTTAATGGTAGTTTTTTTTTTTAAAGTAATCCTGAAATTTCTGCATCGCAAGTTCACATCACGTTAACATTAAGAATTTAATAAATTGGATTTAAAATAGAATAACTTTTGTTTTTTTTTTTTACTATGTACTAGAAAAAAAATCTACCAACTTTATTATATACCAAATGAAAGAAAATAGTCTCCACACTAATGTAATAAGAACAACGATTATGCATTTGCGAATATCAAGGAGAACCCCATTTTTATTCTAGATTCAATTCGTCAACAAAACAAGTTTTTTATTAAATACATTCTTTAAAACAACAATAAATAAAAGTATACTCCAAAGCGACAAAAGTTGTCCAGCAAATAACAGTTTACTAGTTCGATAATAAGATCTAAATCTTCATTATAAATTTTATTATTTTGTTTCTTTAAAAAGAAATTATTGTTTGTCGTGGCCTTAATAAATTCTTTAAAATATATTTCGGGTAAAAGACCATTGTCAGTTATATAATAATTGTTTAGACTGTTCTTTGTTCTAATTTACTTATTTGATAACTTTATCTTTTCAAGTGAAAAATCCTTTAACTGTTTCGCTTGAGTTTATTTTCTAGCGAAATCTAACTGTTTATCTAACAACTTTCTTTGGATAGTGATAATACACGTTTATAAACACAAAGAAGTCAAAGTTTTAGTTTTCACTATAGTAGATATTCTTTTTTGCTTTTTTTGTCGATATTCCAAATATCCAAAATATTGCTATGCCAGTCAGTGTCTCTCTGTTCGTGTGGTTTGAGCTACACGGCTAATACTTTGTAAAAAATTATTTTAATTCATTATAATCTTAAATTATTGGTGAAAAAAAATTTTAAAAATCAAAGATTATCTTCTGTTGATCAATTTATTAGAGAAAAAATTTTTTTATTTATTATTGTCATTAAATTTGATTTTTTTATTTTATTTATATTAATAATAGTATTGATTGATTGATTATACAAAATAATCGAGATGAGAGAAAGATGTTATACATATATATATCATCAACTTCACAATCATCTACACACAAAATTTTAATTACATTATATATATATACACAAATATATATTTCTCTTCCTCTCCTCTCAATAGCATTACTGTTGATGTTGTCTCGTATTAACAGAATGCTGGGGACTGTATTGACCAGCTCCGATAATGAAAGCTCTCAACTTTTTATAAGTTGATGTTACATAAGGTGGAATCTTCTTGCTGGCAGTTGGTGGTAATAATTTGTTGTCCAAGTAGCCACCAACATCATTAAATGTTTGTTTCGTATATTTACTCATTTGGATTTTCACACGAAGAAACATCACGTAAACAAATAACGTAAAAAATTTGCTTTGGAGGCTAATTAATTACAAATGAAATTATATTGTGGCGGTGTTGTGGCGGTGTTGTGGAATAATATGACGTGTTAGATTATTATTATTATTATCATTATAATTGTTATTATCATTAGTAAATAATAATTCTTATAAAATACATATACATCTTTAATGATGATACATACGTTATGACATTCCAAAGTAAAGTCAAAGGAATTACAACCACTTCAACAAGACTGACATATTTCATTGCAGGATCATGATTATTTTGGACCCAGAGAGAAATCCATTTCGACAAATCAATTGCCCATTGATGAGCAGGTGTGATCGATAATGCTCTGGGTTGAGATGGAGATGATTGAGGAGGTGTTGATGGTGGTGGGAAAAATGTTGTAAGAATATTTAGACGTAGATACGTTACAAAATGGAATAAAGAAAATGTTGCGTATGGAAAAAGTGTAACTATAAAATATATTTTGTGTGTGGTGGATTCAAAAAAACATTAGAACTAGAAGTGGTAAGAGTGAACAAGTAAATGTGCGCTGAAAATTTTTTCCATAATATATTCTAAATAAATACCTGTAACTGGTGTATTGAAGTACCAATTTAATGCTAAAATAAGATAAAAGATGTTTTCATCTTTGTTGATTTTTCTTAAATATTCATAACTTAAACTTGGTTTCTATTAATTAATTAATGATTATTTAGTGTCATTATAAAATATTAAGTAATTAATTAATTAATAATATCCATTAATCATTTTCTTGATTAATAGATTGATTTCTCTCGCACACACACACATACACGCACATAACAATACTTACACCAGATACTTTATAAACAACCACGCCATAACTTAACATAGAACCCAAATATGCTATGTAGTAATAGGAAGCTGCCCGTTCACTATTAAAAGTGATCCAATTAAAACAATAAAAAAATGTACAAAATAGCATAATAAGATGTCCACACCACCAAGTAAATTGTGGATGCTATTTATAAATAATGACGGTTGATAAAGAGGGGAGGAGGAGAGAAGAAAAAAATGTAATAATGTAATAATCAAAAAATGAAATAATATAAATTAATTATTACCAATGTTACTGTTGCAATAATGATAATCTTCTAAAAAAAACATATTAATAAACTATATGTACGTAAACATATATGTAGTAATACCTTGACAAGTGTAATGAGCCTTTCCGAAAGAGACTGATGTGCAATCTTTGGCATTTTTATATAATAGATTGATATATAACGATAACAATAATTATATTGATGATGTTATTATAAGTAGTTTTCGTTAATCGAGCTTTACAATTAATATTTATTTATTTAAATAATACGTATATATATACTGATATTATATTGATTGAAAAAAATTCCATAAAAAAGAAGTTTGTAAACTTTTTGAGTTAAAGAAAAAAAAATTTTTATTAATATGAATTTTAATTAAAATATTCATGTCATTAGTTTAAAATACGCTCAATACCACTTACAGAAGTTACACGACCTTGTAGATCAGATCTTAAATAGGAATATGTTCATAATGCTTATTTTTTAACTGATGATTCGCCCCTATGAATCAACGAAATGATTGACATATTCATAGTATCGACGGCCTTTATATTTGCGTGAAAAATCATGCTCTGCCCTACCAGATAATTTTTTTTGCGGATAGGAAAAAACTCAAAGGTTATTGACATAGATTTTTTTTCTTTGCTTATTTGTATTGAAAAAAAAATCATTACTTTGGGACGTAGGTTAGTGTTTCCGCAGCAAGTTTCACTCAGACGGATCATCAATTAAAAGTTTTTAAGTAATTTTTTTTTTGGGATTTAAATTTACACAAGTCTTTATTAATTCAAATATTTATATGAATTACAATCAAATTATTCTAATTAGTTTCATCTTCGATTTAATGATTTCCAATGATTTTGAATCATATATTGCCAAGTGTGTGTATATATATTTATAGATTTTTTAATTGCCAAGCTTACTATTTTTACTATTAATAATAATTCTAGAATTTCTCCATTTTCAAATTTACATCATAAATCATATGACTTTCTATTTATTATTATATAATCCATTTTTTTTCTTGGCCCTTTGTGGTTTATTTTTATTTTCTTCGCTGCTTTTCCTGGTAAGAAATCTTGTCCGTTTTTTTTTCATAATTTTTTACAACATAAATTTGGTTAAATAATAAATGTGTTTTTCTTGACTTTTTTTTTTTTTTTATTTATAAATAGAACCAAAATTTAACGCTTGTCCAAAAAAAAAATTTATATATTCTTAGCTACATTATATTTATATATTTTATTATTCATATATAAGAAACCTCTGGAAGGCTTTTAGAATTCATTCTATATCTCTTGAAAAAATAAAATTCTTCAAAATCCTTTATTATATATTTACATATATACACACTCGTACATATTATAAATAACAATCGTTGGTTCTTCTTGATTTGAAATTCAAAAAAACAAAACATGGCTTTGGCAACATTACCAACTATCAAGAATACTACTGAAGATTTGGTCTGTTTATGGGACAAATGTTCTAAATCTTTCGAAGAGCCCGAACTGCTTTATAATCATTTGGCTAATGATCATGTTGGAAGAAAATCTACTGGAAATCTTTGCTTAAGTTGTCATTGGGATAGATGCGAAGTTCAAACAACCAAACGAGATCATATTACAAGTCATCTAAGGGTCCACGTACCGTTGAAACCGCATATATGCGACGTATGTATCTTTTAATATTGATTCCTTAATAATAATTTTTTTTTGGTATAGTATTTCTAATTTATTAATTAATTCTTAGACTTGTAAGAAAGCGTTTAAACGTCCACAGGATTTAAAGAAACATGAGAAAATTCATACTGATCAACATCAACAGCAAATTACAATGAATAAAAATCTTCGATTAAATAAGGTTCTCCATCCGCCAACACCACCATTATACTGTTCAATCTCTGATTCTTCTCCCACAATTTCTTCCGTCTCTTCACCCGGAAATCCTCCTTTATCTCCAGCCAATAGTGGAATTTCTGATTTGCTGGGTTTCTCGCCAAACACTCATCCAATTGCTTCCGATAATAACACATTGGAGTTAAGTCATGATTACTGGACTTTAAATCACAATCAGCTAGCTGCTGCCAATCTTGACTTAACTTCAAATCCACTCAATATTTCTCTTAATCACCGTCATCACAATAATAATCACAGTCGTAGTCATAGCATCAACAATAGTTACACTCATCACCATTTAAGCAACAACGCTCGTTCAAGACATCAAAAACAGAAACGTAGCGTTGATGTATTATTGGATGAATTTTATCAAGATGTTAAACGCAAACGTCTCGAACCACAGTACAGCCAAGAGTTAATGAAAAAATTAGAAGATATATCTGATGGTTTGTTCGGCAACAATGATGATGATGATGGTTTTTCAACTTTGCCTCCTTCGTTCTCAACAAAGGATGATTTAAATCAATTCAACGACTTCTTTTCGAAACTTTCACAAAATATCAATAACAATCAAAATAACGCTGGAGGAATAATTTTGGTTGAACCTGCTATCGTTTTCAACAATAACAGCAATAACAATAATAGTAATAGTAATAGTGGTTTAGCATCAATTATTTTGCAACCTGATGCTTTTACTCCAATCTATAATGATTTAGTTATGGATAATCTTTTTCCTGACACATTGCCATCAAATATTATACCATCGCAAACTGATCTTTATAATCCAGCTGATAATGCAATTCCAAGTCCGCCTTTAGAAAATGGTGTTAATGGTTGGCCATCATCACATCCTTCCACCGGCCAACAAAATCTTTATGGTACTGCTCCTGGTTTTCCACCAATAACAAATGATCCTAATTCGTCATCACCATCACAATACCTCGATCCTATCGATCCTTTCAATATGTCAGTTTATATGAATAGTGAGGATACTAACCTTTTAAATAATACTCACAAAATGTTAAATTTACAGCGATCACCTCATGATAAGAAGATAGAGGCACCTGGTACTACTACTAACAACAATAAAGATAATATTATTAAAGTCGAATGTATTGAAAATGGTGATAATGATGTTGGAAATGGGTTTACGGATATAATGATTGGAAAGGCCGGTTTGAGTAATTTAATGGCTGGACCTGTAAATAATACAGGCAATAGAAATAATATTAAGAAGAAGGATGTTAATAATAAAGATGATGTTAATAATAAAGATGATGTTGGTGATTTAATTAATGGTATTGCAAGCTTGAATTTGAATAGAGAAGAAGTAACAAAAACCACCACCACATCAATCACAACTGCAGCGCCTACAATTGATAATGAAAAGTTAAAACAATATGCCAAATTGATCGATGCTATTCATAAGAAAGTTAATCTTATGTTTAAGAAATCATATCTCGAACAAATCAATAACAATAATAGTGATAGTGGTGACAAGGATAATGATGCATTGATACTATTGAATAATCAAGTTAAATATCAACAAAATTTGACGGTGAATTAGTTTCAATCTTATAATGTTGGATTGGACAGACTTTTTAAAAAGATTTATTATTATCATCATTCATCTTTGTATATTTGGTTTTTTTAAAAGAAAAATAGAGAAAAGAAAGTTGAAAATAAAACCTTCCTTGAGAAATATTTCTCTTAGACTACATGGTTCCTTAAATTTACTAAATCTCAAAAAAAAAAATATATATATTATATATATATATATTTAATATTTTATAATTATTTATTATATATACATTTTCATATATTATTAGTTTTCTATGTAGATTGTTTTTGCTTTTATTTCATTCATTCATTCATTCACTCCACACTCACTAATGATTCTCGATTCGGAATTTATCATAGTCTCAAATTCTTCTAGTTAGTTTTTAAGGGAATCATTTTTTTTAAAAAATACATGTATTATTTATATATATATGATTTGATTATCATTATATTATTATTATTACTTTTCTTTATTTTAATAGTTATTATTATATAGAGAATAATAAATAAAAAAATTTTATAAGATTTTATTGAAAATGTTCTGCGATCCTGTTAAGTAATTCTTGGCGTTCTTCTTTCAACGTATCCTATAATTAAATGAAGAAAAAAAAAATTAATAATAACCTGATGATTATAAAATTATTATCACAATAATCTTTACCAATTTAATTTTAGCCTTTTCTAATGCTAATTTAGCTAATGTAAGATCCTACAACGATTAATCAGAAAGAGAGAGGGAGAGAGGGAGAGAAATATAAAAACATAGATACATTAACAAAATCGCACATTCGTAAACATAAACAACATATTATAATAAATACATATATATAAATTATACATACAGGTGGCATTTCTTGATAGGCTTTTAATTTTTCACGTTTATTCCTAATCTCTTGCTCCAACATAATTAATTCTTGTTCTTTTCGTTTTAATTCATTAATCCGTAAATTTTCTTCCTCAACACCTGTAGATAAATACTCCTTCTATAATAATATATAGCATCATTTAAAAATTCAATACAATATTTACTGGAGGAGTAGAATCCACCGTATTAAACTTATTACCTCGAGTTCAATTTGTTTATTCTGATATTCTGATTTCTTTAACTCAAGCAATTCCATATTCTTTTCATATTCTTTTAATGATAACTGATCTTTTGAATTCCATTCATTTCTCAGCCTGTCCAATAAACTATATAAAATTATAAAGTTATTAATTGTTGATAATTACATTACATTAGCATTGTATTAATTATAATTGCTGTCGGATAAAAGAATTGTTATTACTTTTCATTTTTTTCATTCCTTTTAATAGTTTTATTGATTTGACCTTTTATTGAATCAATTGAACGCGTTAATTTGTTATTTTCACATTCTATTCTCGAATAGTCCAAATTTAATTTTGCTAATGATGACAAATAACTGATTGCATGTGTGAACGCGTATCACATAATAAAAATGTCAATTCAATATTTTACATATTTCTAGTAATAATCTTTTGTTATCATTACCTGCTTTTTTGGGCATCAGCTAATTCTAATATTTTAGCCAAGTTTACCAATCCATTTAAGGAGTTTATTCCATTTTTTGAAAAATCATTTTTTGAAATATTTAAAATATTTAAAATTTCATTAATTCTTTTAGCTAAATAAAGAAAAATACAACATATTAATGATTTTTTTTGTTAATGTGATTAATATTAATGATTTTGTTAGTAATCTCTTCATTAATCAAAAAAAAAAATGCATTTTTAAAAAGACCTTCTGCGTTATATTCCTTTGTATGAATCTGTTGTTTACTATAAACAATATCAATCATTTCATCTTGTAATTTATTATTCATCACCAAATTGTATAACGTTGCTACTGTTTCTTGATTTCTTTCAAATATTGGAATTGACTCATTATTTCTGAATATTTTGTTCCTCAGCCATTTGTCAATCTTTAATAGCAAAAAAAAAAAAAAGAATTTAAGATTAATGGAATAAACTATTATTTTACTATATATTTCATTTTTCATTTTTCTTCTTACAATACTCCATTTCTCAACTTCTGAAACATTCTTTTTTTCCATTGAATTTTCTTCACTCGAAAATAAATTAGGTTCCATCCTAGCAAAAAGGTACTTCGTGCTCAAGAACCCCAAAATGAGTTATTGACGCGCCATTATATTCTTTGAGGTGACGATTATAATTTGGTACAGTGCGAATCATCTATACTCAAAAGTTAAAATTTTTGAAATATTATGTGATCCACACATTGGATTTTAAAAAACCCACTACCATTCAATTCAGCTTTAAAAAGGGAGTCTATTAATCTAAAAAAAAAATTTGTCTCAAATTTTCTTTTCATAGATT